AACGGGCCTCTTTTCTATTCTGCTCTTAGGGGGGAGAAACGGAAGGCGAGACTTAAATTGGAAAATGTACCTAAATAGATACACTTGCCGATACCGATATCCACCCGAATAAAATATCATGGATACTCACGGCCGTGGACTTTCTTCCCCTCTTTCCTATCTCGGCTTGCATCGCTCCACGTAGTTACTCACGTGATATGTGTCTTAGCGTCTATACCAAACCTTCCAAGTTCCAAGGCTACCGACCAACCTTCTTTTTAAACCCGCGACATGTCTCCGCAAGCACAGGAAAACGACCCGTTTCAATTGCATTTCGCCTTTTGTTCCTGGACTGCATCTGGGGGCAAGTAGTGATTTCGGGGGGTTACATAGAGCTACCGCCGTCGATTACAGGGCTTGATAGCTTCCCTTTTTTTTTTTTTTTTTTTTTTTTCCCAATTCCTTTTCTCGTCGGTTCTCCTGTGTCCAAGTATTTCCCCATTTCAGGTTTTTACCAAAAATTGAGGACCTCTCTTCTACGGCAACGGCAGTAGACCTGCGAAACAAAGGGAAAAGATCCCCCCTTAAAAAAAAAAAAAAAAAGAAAGAAAGAAAGAGAAGTATATAAAACGAAAGGGATACAGGGCACAAGGAACCGTAACCATGCCGCCACGCCTTAACCTCTTACCCACAGCCATCACCGCCTTCCAATCCCAAGCCTTCCTCCCGTACTCCTCTCTGCTCCGCCCATCCACTGTGTCCCAACAATGTACCGCGTCTAGATCGCCGTCGTTGTTATCTAGCAGCCACGACAGGGGCATCCGCGCCCTTTCAACCAAGAGGGACCTCCTACTCCGCCAGCGCGGTGGTGCGGTACTGGCACACCGGCCCTGTGTTTCGTCTTCGCAGCGCCGGATGGAGTCTTCGTCTTCGAAAGCTGGCGCTGGGATAGGTGAGGGGAAGGCGGGGAGGATTGCTGATGAGAAGATTGAGGCTGTGAAGAGATCAGAATCGGAAGCGGCGAAGGAGGGGCTAGGCAGTGTTAGTGAGGAGGCTGCGGAGTTGGCAAGGATTATGGAGCGGAGGACGGAGTGCGGGGAGGTGGGGGAGCCGGAGTTGTCACAGGGTAGTATGGTTGGGGATGTATGTTGATTGCTGTTCCTGTTCCTATTTTGGTTTTGTTGGATTTTCGTTTCATATTTCCATAATTTTCTTTTTTAAAGTATACGATTTACTAACTGATATTTCAATAGATCTTGAAGCGGGATAAAGATGCATTGAAAAATGCACCAAAAGTTCTGCGGGACCAACTGAGCTCCTCTTCATCGTCCTCGTCCTCTGGCTCCAGGTCCTTTTCCACATCTGCTAGGTCGAGACAGCTCCATATGAACCAGATATCACCGGTGGGTGAGAACGATGCGTTGATCGCCGCTGCCACCGAGCGGAAGTATGATCAAGCAAGGCGTGAAGGCCTAAAATTCGATGTGCCCGAAACACTACCCAGATCCGAGCATCTGAAGCACCGCTACGACCCATTATTAGACCAGTTTACAAAAATGCTCATGAGGCATGGAAAATTGAGTGCTGCGCAGAAGGTCAGTTTTCGCATATCCCATATATGAAGGTTAACTAACAACAGCAGCAAATGGATGCAATCCTCCACAACCTGCGTTCCGCCCCAGCACCCAACATAGACCCGTCACGCCCCTTACTCCCCGGGCCCCCGAGCCCCCAACTACCTCTAAACCCAATCCTCTACCTAACCCTGGTCGTTGACTCCGTGGCGCCACTGCTCCGCATCAAGCAACAGCCTGGCGCGGCAGGAGGTGGCCGCTCGCTCCCAATCCCTCTGCCGCTGGCGCTCCGCCAACGCCGGCGCACAGCTATTAAGTGGATTATTGATGCGTCTGAGAAACGGAAGGATGCTGCGTTGGCGAATCGGGTGGCGCAGGAGATTATTGCGGTGGCGGAGGGGAAGAGTTCGGTGTGGGATAAGAGGGGGGTGGTTCATAAGCAAGGCACCGCGTCGAGGGCGAATATAAAGGCGTTGGGTATGAAGGGGAGGAAGAAGTTTTAGTTAGATGTAGTGTTTGTAGAACTCCTTTGCTTGTTTGTTTTAGTTTTAGAGGTGATGGTGGTTACTGTATGCCTGTATACTATACAATATACTATGTGAGAATGGTGATTTCTTTCTTTCTTTTCTTTTTTCTATTTCTTTTTCTTTCTTTCTTACCTTGTCGTTCTTCCACGCTTTTTGTTTAATCTACTTTTGTTCTTAGTATTTCGCGTCGTAACTGTTCGGCTCCCCCACTCCTCCGATT